TTCTAAACAATCCATTGGTTTGTTTGGTTTTTTTTAAAACATCCTTCTAACTTTTCTTCCTCTTTAGTTATTCACCCAAACTACATTTACTTTCTTTTGAACCTCCCTCATAAATTCATTCCATCATTCTCACCAACACTATCATTTTTTGTTTCTCTCTTCTGAATTTGCTCCAATTTGTCAACATCTAATTGAGACAAAGCCGTCTACAGTCCAGTAGCCAAACAGATATAGTTTCACGAGGCAGTATTCCTGCCCTATCTGAACTGAATCCATAACAGAAGGCACCTACAGTTCAGCTTTTCATACTTTGCCCTCTTTTATTAAAAAAAAAAATTTTGAGCTCAGGGAAGATAAGTTAACAAGAAACACTTAACATTTTAGGTCTCTGCAAGCTGGTCCATGCAGGCAGACCCAATGAAGTCAATAGGGTTATGCCTGCACAAAGCTCATTGCAGGATATGGGCCTTAAAATATTCATTTTAGAAAAAATATTTCAAACAGAAAAAGCTCTTCAATATTTCTTGTCACTGTATATTACATATCTGTAACTAAATCATTCCATTACTGTTGTGAAAAGCTTCCATTTTATTTTTCCTACACGGCTTTAACCTAAACTCCCAACTACACAGAAACATGGAGAGAGGTTTCATTCAATCCTGAGGTCACGTGCCATTTAAAGAGATTTTTTTTTTTAATACAAGTTTGACCACAGTAGCAAAGAAAGTATATTATGTGTCTTCAGAAGAAGCTACCAACCGAGAATAAAAATGTGAGAAATACAAAAATCATGTCTGCCTGAGCCTATAAACTGAATTTACAGTGATGAGACATCCATATTTATGCCAAACCTCCTCATCCTGAATTTCTGACATGCCTCTACAGATAACATTACATACATTACATTTTGCTGTTTGAAGATACTATACCAAAATTGAATTAAAATGAAGAGGTGTCTACCTGATTAGAAACAAAACATAACATGTCACACTTAAACAAGAGTGCAACTCCAATAACAAAGTGGATTATACCACATGGATGACAAACAGTCAACAATTTGTTCGTGTTCTTTAATCAGAGGGTAAATTAACCTATGAACTAATACTCATCTTGCAGTTTTAGAGATGCATAGTACTAAATTGTGCCTGATAGTTATACTGTGCCCTTCACTTAGGCTGGCCTTTACTTTAAAAAAAAAAAAAAAAAAAAAAAAAAAAAAAAAAAGGATTCCATATTGAACATACCACTTTTCCTCCTCTCAAATTCCAACCACCTCTGGCATGAAACAGCAGCCTTTCTGTACTGAAATACTAAATTATTTCAGTAGGAGAAATGAAGCATACACCCACTTGAATCCTGCATAGAAAATTTCAGATACACAGAACACAATTACCCATATTGAGATCTGGCCAGTGCTCCAGGGTTTTCCAGGGGATTTTCATGAGAAAAAGAAGATTCACAGTTCTTCTGCAAGATGACCCTGGCTCAGCACAGTATTCAATATATACTTCTAGAAACACTTCCTTTGTACTGGGGCACTGGCTCAGTACAAAATCACCAGCCTGTAGGATGAGTTTATCTTGGATGCTTCTAAGCTAAGTATGGTTAGACCTAGTCAGTTAGCAATATGGGAAAGTTACATGAGATCATATCTAAATGTGGTATGGCTGCAGGCCATATATATAGTGAAAGATATCAATGGATGATACTCCAATCCCTTCTGATTTTTTAAGGGTATACTCCACAAGTACAATGAATACAAGGGCGTCCCCTTTATATCAGTCAGGAATTCTATGAGTCTCTCATATAGTAATTACCGGTAACCTTCAGCATCTCTGAATTTCTCCCCTCTATGGAGAGAGTGGAATTCTAATAAGACATGGTACCAAAAGCAAGCATACCATGTGTACAAAAGTGATGCCCCTGTTGCTACTGCCCATGGTAGGGTTCTAAAGTAAGCTTACCCAAAAATCCTAGTAGTGAAAAGCCAAGTTTGCTTTCTTATCTATCACTAGCTAGCATTTGCCTGATAAAATTCTCACACCCTGTGCATAGTAGCTACTTATTGTATCAATGTTCATAGCACAACTCCTCCAGCAAACAGATACAGGTTCTGCGCAATGTACCAGGTACATGGTTCAAAAGCCATCTTCAGAACTACCCCATGTTTCTGGTACACCCTCTACAGTGTCAATGGTTCAGTGGAAGATTGTATTTGACCACACTGATGAATATAAACAACAAAGGTTTTGGGGGAAAAAAGAGGAGAGAAATATGAAGGGATACTAAGAAACTACAACTGTAGCTGTAGTTATCCAGAGTTTCCCTCCCTGCCTGGAAGATACAGATTGTATAACAAAGTAATTCCTGTACTGCTTTCTCACCATTTTCCTCTCTGCACTTTCCTTAATCTGCCAGAGCCTATAGAAATCATATTACTAACAAATCAATTAAATTTTAAAAATCATAGTCAATTTCCAAGTAAGTATCTGATAAACCCATACAAGCATAATCTAAACCACAACAGCTAATCAAAACACAGTGATCAGAATTATGGAAGAAAGTCACAAATTTGCCCCTTTATCAGAAACTCGATGTATTAATCTTTAGAATTGTGCGTAATTATTTGAACATTAAGACAAGCACAATACCATGGCAGGAAAGGACAAGTGAAGTCAGAGTAAGGCCACCCATCCTCCTTAAGCTTTTTAACACTACCATCCTTATAAGTGCCTACAAATAGACATAATAAAAACATCAACTTTAAGGGTAAGTACTGAACATCTGTCCCCATGCCAACTGGGCTATGAGAAGAAATAAGCACATTCAGCCCCCCCACCCTCCTGTGGTCAGCATATCCAGCCCTTGTGGTGACTAATTTGCACTTCTCTACTTGACAATTCAGCATGCAATATATTGTTGATGTCACAGCAACTAACGAACCTCACTGGAGCAAGCTAGCCTAAAAGGGAACAGCCAAGTGGAAACATTCTGTTTTAATATTTGGCATGTTTTGGACCAGGCAGTTGTGCATTATGTTATAAACTTTCCCTCCTTGTCCTTCTATCTTCTGAGAATAATTCCTGTCCTCAATTTACGGTGATACCTTGAAGATATACATAGTGGATCGTGTGTCTTTGCCTTCCCCCTTTCCCTTATTTATGCTATGTAAATTTGGCGCCTCTAATTACTATGTGTTGTCCAAACTATAGTATGCTCTCGTGTCGTCTCTGTTTAGTTTACGTATTACTTTACAGAGAAAATAAAGACTATTCTCGCCTAAAGAAAGGAATAGCCTTAAATTGTGAAGAAAAGAACATTATAAAAAGGCTAGAATTAAGGGAACAACAATTAGTAATATACCAAGATTCCAAGCTGTATAAATATCAGAATATGTCTCCATTGACTAAAATGTGATAACTAAAATATGGAACTTGATGAAAAATGATACAATGTTCTGGGGGTGAGTGTTTAAAATAGACAGTTTTCTTCCCTTATGAAAACAGGGCCTTTTAAAAAAAGTTTTCCGCCATTGCTCATTCTGCTTCAGCTCCACTGGTGTTTACAACATTGAGAGCTCTTGGACACCAACCTGCTGGTGTTTTTAAACATTGTGTTCATTAGACCTGGCCTGAATAGGGCTTTGTGACAGCATTAAAAATGCCAGTAGCACATCCACACTAAGGCTTCTAACATTATCAATAGTGAAAAATGCAAATAGGTCTTAAGAGGCAAGATGTTAGCAATCTTGATCTAACAAACACCTTCTAAAACTCTAGTCAAGACAAATTAGTATGTTCTAAAGTACAGTTTAACTAGTTGAATTAAAGCCTGGGGGAGCCTAGGGTTCCCTGCGACCAGCTAACATATTAGAACGAGAGTTTAATGTTTTAACACAGTAAAAACATATTTTTTCCTTTTGTAGGCATGGTCTATGCCCCTTAACACAACCCCAAAGGGAGCATAACACCATACGTTGCTTACACAATGACTGACAAGCAAGGGGTAAGTGGTTAGTTGTCCTGCCAATAAATAATAATAATATATGGAAATATACCTATCTCCTAGACCTGGAAGGAACCCTGAAAGGTCATCGAGTCCAGCCCCCTGCCTTCACTAGCAGGAGCAAGTACTAATTTTGCCCCAGATCCCTAAGTGGCCCCCTCAAGGGTTGAACTCACAACCCTGGGTTTAGGAGGTCAATGCTCAAACCACTGAGCTATCCCTCCCTTTCTACAGATGTATCCTAGATACAGTATCAAGACACCAGAATTTATGAAGTTACATCGTTTACTTGTATAACTACAGTTTTATTCTTCCATTTATTTTGCAGTAATAGAAAGGACACTGAGTTCTCAAAGAATGAAAAACTGGGTACTGCCTGTCACAGCAGATGGCTTTTTGAACATTTGTGATATCAGAAAAGGTAGATACACTTAATATTGCTGAAGCTGGACATGGACAAGCCATAACAAACCCTAAGCTGGGGGCAGAGTTATCGCCACTTTTAAACAAACACAACCCAGTTTTTGCGAAATCGTGTCGCAGTCATAGGCAGTGTTTTAAACTCAAGCTGCAACGTGCGGCTCGGATACCAGGAGACCCCCATGAAGGTCTGGGAAGCAGGTCGCTCCTGTAGTGACCCCGCAACAACTTCCTCTCTGCCCGCCCCTGGCGAGCTGGCCAGTCCCGGCGGCTCCACACACCTGGGGCCGGAGGCGGGCGGGGGAGACGCGAGGCAGCAACGCACAGAGCCAGAGCCAGGCCCAGCGCCGGGGCCGCCCGAGAGAACCGGGCACGGGGGGGGCCGCCCTCCCCCTGCAGCTCCGGCCACCTCCTCCCGCCCAAGGGGCCAGCGAAGCCAGGCCCACACGTGACAGACGCCCGCCCGCCCGCGCGAACCCCTGCCCGGAGCCAGCCGGCCCGAGCGGCGCGGCTGCAGTTAGGCCCCTTGGGGAGGCGGGCCCGGCCCCGCGGGCTGCCCCCGGCCCGGCGCGTACCCGCAGGACGTGGTAGCCCTCGGTGCCTCCGCCGGGGATGTCCACGCTCTGCGAGGCGCCCATGGCTCCGGCCGGCGGAGGAGGCGGCGCTGCTCCTCACAAAGCGCCGCACTAGGGACGTGGCACTCTCTCCCTCAGCCCCGCCCCTGTCGGGGAGGCGAGGCGCGGGGGATGCTGGGAGTCACAGGCAGGCACCAGCCATCGGCTCCCGGGACAGCGCCACCTGCTGGGCCTGGCGGGCACCAGCGCCCGGAGCTGGCACGAGCTGCGTGATGGTTTGCTGGACAGCCGGAATGTCACCACCCTCTTCCCACCTACGGTGGCCGTCGCAGGACATTCCTGTCACGGAGCAGCGCGGCCGGAAGGAAGGGGCTGCCAGGGCTGAACATCGGCCTCCCCTAGCCCCGCCCGGGGGTGGAGGTTCTCCGCCCGCACCCCCCACGCTCGCAGCATCAGCTCTGGCGTGGCAGTGGGTGGTCCCCGCTTCTCTCACCGGCCACCGCCGGGAGGGGCGGAAACGGAATTTGGGCGCCTGCCTGCAGCCCCCAGCCCGCTTTGCCGGGCTCCTCAGGCCGCCGCATCCCCCCGCCCGCCCCCTCCCCCGGCCCGGGACCGCCCCCCTCGCTGCAGAGAGAAAAGTGACGTCGAGCTACGGCATGACCTTCCCCGGCCGCCGCGCTCGCCTTCCCGCCCCGTCCCTCTCCTCTCCTCCTGGCCCAGCTGCATAGGGTTCGCCTCTGCTCGCTTGCAGCCCCCCCAGTGACCCATCCCAACCCCTCTCCCGACCGCCCTCGCTCTGGCTCTGTCTGCACAACACACACGGTTGGGCTCTCCCAGCTCTGCTTGGCCGCACCTGCCTCTCCAGCTCCCGCCCCAGCTCCTTTCTCCCTTTCATCTCTAGCTCTCATGCCGGGCCCTCCCTGCGCTGTCCCTCTCCAGTGCTAGCCTAGACGCTCCAGTCCAGCTTCCACCCCGGCATTCTGCACCGAAGTCTCCAAGGACCTCTTGCTGGCCGCAGCTCTGTCTAGTTCTCATCCTCATCGGCTTTGACAATGGAATTATTGTTCCAGGAATTTTGAGTCTTTGTGAAATGCAAAATGTACTTTCACTCTATGCATCCGAAGAAGTGAGGTTTTTACTCACGAAAGCTTATGCCCAAATAAATCTGTTAGTCTTTAAGGTGCCACCAGACTCCTTGTTGTTTTTGTAGATACAGACTAACACGGCTACCCCCTGATACTTGGCAAAGTGGAGTGGTACCGTGGCACCAGTAGCAAAAGCCATGTTGTAGACATAAATATTTCTTCAGCACCCATAATTGTGCTAGGGCCATTACAGGAAAAAAGAGAAGGTGTGGGCCTTGCCCAGAACATTTAGCAATCTAATTTTATCTGTGATATGACCAATCTAGTCTAACATCTATCTAATAGGGAGGAGATGGGGAAGGACAAAGTACATGTGCTCATCTTGATGTTTAAATTAAAAGTGTTTTTTTAAAATGCTGGCTCATATCTTGCTTGTATTGTGAAAAAGAGTTTTGAGGAGTAATCTAAATAAATGGAGTAGTGAGTTGGCAAACCAGGATTGGAAAAGGATTGAGCTCCCAAATATCTGAAAATCCCCCAAATTAGTGGTATCTGCATTTTCAGGTAACAATTACATCTGCAATAAATGTTGATAAAATATTAGCCTAGTTGAAACAAATGGGAGTTTTACCATTGACTTCAGTGGGGTCAGGAGTTCATTCTAATTAGCAAAACTGCAGTGAAAAATCAAAGTTTGGACATTTAGAATAAAAGTAAAATGTAGTCAACCCATCATCATAAATTTCCATGGTCTGAAATTTACTTAATACATATTAAGTTACAGTAGAACTCAGATGGTACGGCCTATAGATGCACATGAATATGAAATTGGTTAGGGATAAATTGTTCCCTTATAGAATCATAGAAATGTAGGGCTCGGAGGGACCTCAAGAGGTCACCCAGTCCATCCCCCTGGATTGAGGCAGGACCAAGTATACTAAAACCATCCCTGATAGGCATTTGTCCAACCTGTTCTTAAAAATCTCCAGTGATGGGGCTGCCTCAACATCCCTTGGTAACCTATTTCAGTTCTTAAACTATCCTTATAAATTAGAAAGTTTTTTCCTAATATCTACTCTGTACCTGCCTTGCTGGAGATTAAGCCTATTACTTCTTGTCCTGTATTCAGTGGACATGCAGAACAATTGATCACTATTGTCTTTATAATATCACTTAAATGTATTTGAAGACTGTTATCAGGTCCCTCCTCAGTCGTCTTTTCTCAAGACTGAACCCTTTTTTAACCTTTCCTCTTAGGTCAGGTTTTCTCAACCCTGTATCATTTCAGTTGCTCTTCTCTGGAGTCTCTCAAATTTGTCCACATCATTCTTAAAGTGTGGCACTCAAAACTGGAAAGCATACTCTAGCTGAGGCCTCCCCAGTGCTGAGTAGAGCAGAACAATTATTTCCTACACCACACTCCTATTAATACATCCTAGATTCAGAATATTAGCCTTTTTTTGCAACTGCAACACATTGTTGGCTTATATTCAATTTGTGATCCACTATCATCTCCAAGATCCTTTTCTATAGTATTACTACCTAGAGAGTTATTCCCCATTTTGTATTTGTGCATTTGATATTTTTCCTCCCTATGGGCATGGCTACACTTGGGAGTTAGAGCGCATTAAAGCAGCCCAGTGCGCTCTAATTCACGACATGTCCACACTGGCAAGGCACATAGAGCACTCTGACACCGCGGCTAGAGCACTCCTGGTAATCCCACCTCGGCAAGTGGAATAATGTTTGATGCGCCCCCACTGGAGTGCCACGGCGCCAGTGTGGACGCTCTGGTCTGTTAATGCGTTCTGATGGGCCTCCACAAGTGTCGCACAATGCCTGTTCTAGCCAGCCTGGTCATCAGTTGAACTCTACTGCCCTGCTCTCAGATGACCAACTGTCAGACCCACCCTTTAAATTCTCTGAGAATTTTGAAAATCCTCTTCCTGTTTGGTCAGCCAGGCGTGGAGTGCTCTCAGCGAATCTTTCCAGGCCAGGTGACCACGCCTCCATACACCAGCCGATCGCCAGTATGGAGCAATGGCGAGGTGCTGGACCTCATCAGTGTTTCGGGGGAGGAAGCTGTCCAGTCCCAGCTGTGCTCCAGCCATAGGAATTACGATACCTTTGGGCAGATATCAAGAGACATGAAGGAAAGGGGCCATGACTGCTGTTAACAATATCCTGCTGAAGTTAGCCAGGTTCAAAGTAGGATTTTTGCGCTTGGGGCAAGCTCAGAAGGTTCATCCAGACATACAGAAGTTTACAGAGGAAGAAATTTGCAGATCCAAATCAATTAAATCTATAACTCATGTGAAGGAACTCTGTAACAATCAACCAGTAGTTGCAACAAAGTGCATGGGAGTAAACCATCCAATTTTTGCTCTGAAACTGGGTTTATAGGGTTAAAGTGAAGGAGCTGCGGAATGCCTACCACAAAGCCCGCGAGGCAAAGGGCCGCTCCTGTGCTGCCCCCGCGACCTGCCGTTTCTACAAAGAGTTGGACACGATACTTGGGGGCGACCCCACCTCCACTCTGAGTACCACCATGGACACTTCAGAGCCCAGCCCAACAAGGCAGGAGGAGGAGGAGGAGGAGGAAAGCGGGAGCAAGGGTGCTGAGGAGGAGGAAGACACCCCGCATGCCTAGATGCATGCAGCCAGGAGCTGTTCTCAAGCCAGGAGGAAGGTAGCCAGTCAAGGCGGCTGGTGCTTGGGGAAGGACAAACACCAGAGGATGTTCCCGGTAAGCGGCTTTTATTTTGGGAAGGAAGTTATTCGGTGCGGGCTCTTGGGGTGAAGAGGGTTAGGGCTGCATGCATACTGAAATGCAGAATAGGGCGTTGATGTGCTCTCTCACATCACGGTAATCGGCCCCAGTGATCTCTTCAAAGGTCTCAGCCAGAACTTGGACAATGCGCTTCACTCCTATATTTAACTATTTTTCCATTTATAAAAGGCACTTGTCACTAAATACAGCAATATTGCACAATTATCCAAGTGCATAATTTGTGGGGGGAGGTGAGGATTCATCTTTCTTTAACATAAATTTCCCATGTAAGCCACTGTTGGTGACAAAATAAAGAATGAGGTAGTTCCATCTGTCTTTCCTAGTTTCTTAAGTATGTGCCATCTCTCCTTATGTTGCTAGTTGGATGCCATCAGTCCTGTGTCTTGCTTGTTGGTTTCCTCCTGTCACAAAGCAGGTGCCCGATAGCTGTTGTCCTCCTGGTTGATTGGCTCTCTGATGCCAGGTCTCTGCTGTGTTGACTCTGTGGTCACTAAGTGATTGCTGGATGCCTGCGGTCTCATGCTTAGCAGGTACTAGCTGATGTCTTTTGCCTTCTTGGTTCGATAGTCCTTCTTCTTGTGCCTGCTCCTTCACTGCATTGGCCCTGCCTACTGCAGCTAGTACTATACATTTTATGGTAGCGCCCTACACCCTGTTCAAATCAATGGCCCTGGCTTTGATGCTTTCTGTGACACTAAGCACCCTGTATTTACACCCTACACACTATTGTAATAATCTTTGTACAAAATATGTCTTGTGAGGTATCATTTGAAAACTAATTATTCACTGTTCATTAATAGTCGTATGTGATGTACGTGAGGGTATTAAGAGATGGATCTATGCTGGATTTAGGACTAAAGTGTGTGTAAACCAGGTAGGTCAGGAGAAATTGTTACATAAGTCTATCCTAAACAAAGAAATCTGTGTTTACCTCAATTTATGTATGCAAACAGATCCATCAAGCTAACAAGAGGTAAAGGCAAATCTCACACTGACAAGTGGGGAGAAGACAGCATGGCCTCTACACCCAGAAAGTGAGAAGCTTGGTCTAAGTTTTATTTTTCAGAAGAATACATTAAAAAGATTTACTGGTCTATAAAGATAGGGGCCAGGGAGGGAGGGCCGACTGAGCCTCAAGTGATAAGCCTCAAGTGATTGTATAAAATATTACTGTATTATAAAAGTTTATAGAGTGAAGTCTTTTCTGAAAGCTAATGGCACACTGATAGTTACCATCATTGTGAAATGTATACATTGATTCTATAAATGAAATTTAATGTGGATAAATGTAAAATAAT